GATAATGAAACTTATCTTCTTACTCTTGTAAGTTTCGTATCTAATTCGGACGTACCATCACTATGCATTATAACTTATCTTCTTATTTTTCTAATTTTATCTATATATCAAATCACTTAGGTTTCCACTTTAGTCATATCTTCAAAAACCGAATTCATACTCTTGACATGCTCTGCTCTTGAGTCGATATATGCTGCTATTAACAATTATAAACCACAACTTACAATTAATTGTACAAAAACTTAACACAATGTTTAGAGTCTCAAGGGTTATAACTTATAAACACCTTTTGCATCATTTTTTTAACCGGCAAACCTTTCCTCTTTGAATGCCTACGAGTATAATTATAAAAGTTTGCAATTATAAGATAAGCATCATGTAAAGAATGTGAACTCGATTTTTGAAGATATATAAGACTAAAGAAGAAACTTTAGTGATTCTATATATAGATTAGACGAATAAGAAGGTAATTAAGATATAATGCATAGTGACTTAATTAATTAATTAAGGTACGTCAGAAGTAGATACATATATAATATATGAAAATCCACTAACTGTGTAGTCACTATGCCACTATTAATGAAGCTACTTAATGAAGAGATTCAACGATTAAAGAGATTCAACGAAAAACCCACGATTAATGAAGCCAATTAAAGTAATCACTAACCCTACATATATTTTTTTTTTTTTTTGCTAAAACCCTACATATATATTATGCATATAATTCGTAGGTATCTTAACTAATTAGTGGCCACTTTGTATTATATTAAATCTGATTTATCCTTTTCCTTTTTATCTATATATAGACTCACTTAAGCTTCCTCTTTAGTCATATCTTCCACACTCAGCTAACTACTACTAATCTTAATTTCATTTGATCAAAAATCACTCAAATGGCTTCTAAGGCGTTATTGTTAATTGTTATGCTCACACTTCTACTGGTAATTGGAATAGAAGGGAGGATAGTTCGGGTTAATTCGAAGATTACTAAAGATGGTGGAAGCAACGATCTTTTGCAACGTTTAGGATACAATGTTTCTGAACTAAAGCGTATTGGAAAGCTTTCATTGGAAAACGAAGTAGATAGGTTTTCTCCAGGAGGGCCTGACCCTCAACATCACTCTTATCCTTTATCTTCAAAGCCTTAATTTGGTCCGAGTTGTTTGTGTTGCACCCCC